AGGAAAGATTATTCAAAATTACTGGTGGTTTGGTTTTTGTGTTTAAAACCAGTCTCTTTTCCTTGTAACTACCTTCATTGAAACTAAAATGCTTTCAAGTACATTCTAAATAAACAAATAGAGGTATGATCATGTATGCAGTCTGCCCTGAAGGATTATTTGTGGGTGAACTCCAGCATTAAGGGCTGTTAGATGAAGAAGAGGTATAATTATATTGGACTATGGAAGAATGTTTTTTCTTTGCTCAGTTCTGTACTAGTTCTGGTAAGTATTGGGCTGGCAATATGTGTTATACCTGTTTAGGATAGAACTTTTAAATGCCTATGTTTTTGCTTATATGGACTTATTTTCTGTAATGAATCTCTGCCCATAGGTTCTATTTTTCTGGGAAACTTAATAACTAAAATGATTTAAGCCTTGTTAGTGCAATTTTTGATAGCATTGTCAGAATGCTTTGCAAGACCTATTGGTTACTTATATGACATAATTCTGGTGTGCTTGAAAATATCACAAGTGTCAGCCACTGGAAGCAAGTATAAGAAAGCCAAATCTTTAATTTTTTTATCTTCATTTTTAACTTTAGGGTGGTGAGCTTTTATTGTAATAATATTGCTTTCTGTCCTAAAAGTGATAGTTTGAAAACTTGCAGCTACTGCTTTGGCGTTTGCATGTGTGTCTACACAGATGCACAGACTTTCAATGTAGATATTAACCTTTATTCTTATTCTGAGTAAGACTGCTACAACAAGTCTTTTATTCTTTGTAACTCAGTTTGGAGGTATTTTTACACCATAAGCTGTAATGCTTAATCATCTAAAGCTTTCATGATTATTCTCTATTTATATTTAATTGATTTTGTTTTTTCAAGTGATGCAAAATTCGTCATGGTGTGATGCTTCTGGCTTCCACATTTACTTTCTATGTAACTTACAGGAGAACTTTGTGGGGAAGTAACTATAGATAAGGAGCAAGTGGTGACTTGCACATGCTGCTTAAAATGAACTTTATCTTTTACTTCGGTTGTTGCTTTAGTAATGCCCAATAATTTGTATGGAAACTTGCAAATAATGTTTTGTGGTAAATATGCCATAGGATTTTCCTGTGAAATAGAAGAGTTGAATTTTATATTTGTGGCAAAACATGTAGTTTCTCATTGGGAATGTAGAAAAGATGAAGCATTTCCTCTGCAGAAGGGGAAAGCAGAAGCTGGTTTCCATAGGTATTGAGTTAAACTTAATTCTTCTTTTTGGAAAATCTGGTTGAATAATTTAATCTCCATTAAAGTGCACTGTTGATAGATATGACCTTGAGGTGAGTAATTTTTAGCTACCTGGGCTGATGCATGCTAGAGAGCACTTTTATTGGTTGTTTTAGGATTATATATTGTTAGAAAGACATGCTTGTTATACTTCTTTCTACTCCTGTTTAATTTATTTGTTATATTTAAGTGAAGGAACAGATAACCATGAAATGTAACTCTTCTTGAAAGGACATACAAGACCTGGCCATGTCTTTACTACTGCAGTTTTGCCTTTCATTGTCAGGGATGGTCACTCATAAAATGGAAGAAGCACTACCCTTTCATAAATGATGTTCCCACGGATTCTGTAATATTTATGATTTTTGAGAAGCCAACATGCAACTATACTATATTCTCAGTCAAGACTACAAAGAAACTCTTTAGAATACTTAGATTAAAGTAGTACCCTTCTAGGAAAAAGCATGAGTGTACACACTTGCAGGAGTAAATTATCCTCATTTACCCAGTGAAATGAAGGTAATAAATGATTTATTAAAAAAACCAAAACAAAACGACAAAAAAACCCACAACAAAACAAAAAATAAACAAAGCACAAAGCAAAAAAGACCATTTACAGTTATGCATAATGTGATTATAAGTAGAAGGTCCTTGAGTATATACTCAGCAAATCCTCCCTTGATTTAATTCCATGGTGAGAAAGAAGTTAACGGTAGTTATACTGAGAATCAGGTCTTATGTTTTTTTTAAGAACAATTTCCAAGCAAGTTGAAAAGAAATTAAATGCTGGTATGGAAAAAGTATTTTTAAAAGTCAGTCTTCAAAGATGAGGAAAACATGTTATTTTTGTTCTGCTTGACTGCAGTGTTACAGTAGGAGAAGGCATGCATAACCAACCGTGTCCAGAAATGTGTTTAATGTACTTGGAAAACATTAACTTCTGTCTGTAGCTGTATTTGTTTCTCCTGTAAGCCTATTGCATGATTTCATTATGGGATAGAATTCCACATTTGTTTTATACCTTAGGGTGAAAATAACTGTGTTTTGGGGTCATTTTTTTGTTTGCTTAATTAAAATATATCTCTCAGCTTTGTATATTTGACATGTTTATTTTAGGGAAAGTACTGACTTGTTGATAATGTTCAAATTTGTCTTACAGTTTTTTTTGTTGGTTTCATATGTGCATCAGCTTCTTGCCTGAGGCTACAAAGCAGGAACTGAGATTTGCATGTAATGGCTGGTCCTGGTTGCTCAGGGCTGGAGGCTGATTGCTGGTGCTTAAGAGGTGGCTTCCGGTCCTGCCAGAGATCTCAGTGACCCCACTGCCTATCCCAAAAGCAGTTGCCATTGCAGATTGCTTCATGTGCTTCCATGTGCCCCTTTATACTGCATTGGGGTCGATAAGCCATTTCAGTCATCTGGCCCTATTTAAAATACAGCTTTAAACACAGGTTATGTATAGATGAAAAGCTGTAGAGCAGGTGCTAACAACTCATCTGCTTACCTCCATCCTGTTCTCCTTCCCTTGCCCTTTAGGCTATGAATTTTCCGAGTTGTTTCCTTATAGACTTACTGAGCTTACGGCACATTAAGGTGGGATGTGGAAAATGGTGTAGGCAGGTGCCTGTGGTGTGACACCTGTAACATAGCTCCCTCCCTTAGGAGCTTACTTGCTGCAGAGTGAGGCTAAAGACCATGTAGGTGACAAGTACAAGGTATGGCTTTCTCTGCTCAGGATTCCCAGTGGATAGTGGTTTCCTGGGGTTTGATTAGGCCCCTTGAGCTCTGGTTGACTGATGGTGGTGACATCCAAACGCTCAGCCATTTATCCCTGTCTCAGCAGTTTCCATGGTCAGCTAGCTCTCAAGGACAGCCTCAGCTGAGACTCTTTGCTTGCCTTAAAGACAAACCATGAACTCTGTGTTGCAGGTGTGATTTTATATAAAATTGTAAAAATCAAGGAATTACAAGTTTTCGTTTGTGAACCCAATGCAAATTGGCCACTCTAGCAGCAACCACTCCTGAATTAGAAAGCCCATTTCCTGGATACTAAAATTAGAAATTAACATACTATGACTAACTGCAGACTGTATATCAAGAAAAATTGCAAAGTAATGGGAGTGTATGGTGGTTGATATGGAAATACTGTTCATAATTCTCCTAAATATTACCCCTTCCTTTTTATCCCCTCCTTTAAAAAAAAAAAAAAGAAAAAAAGGAAGCAAACAAACACCTAAAACCCCAAACCACACCTTCTCCAAAGAAAAAATGCAAAATGCTGACTAAATAAATGTCTTGACAGCTTACAGCTCTGATTTTAGAAAATATACAATAGCTAGCTATCAATTGGCTGACAAAAAAACATCCTATGAGAGTATTGTTGAAAGTGTTGAATGCTTATGTGTGTCTGAATTCTGAGCTGTCTGTGAGAAGGCAATTGTCTTAGCTGCTTCTGAGTATACATTACACATAGTTGTGTGAATATGGATGACTGTGCTGCTTTGTTACCTTTGCAACCCCCCAAACCCTACTTTATACAATTTTGCATCTCGTGACTTTTCATGCTTTTCATGTTTGCCTTTTGTAGTGATGTGTCGTAGATGCAATGCTTCAGTATTTGAAGTGATTTTTTTCCCCCTCTAAATCATTCCATCTCTTTAGGTGCTTAAAAGAAAAGCCAACCTGTGTTTTAAGGCAGATACACAAATATAGGGAGATTGCAAAATAGTCCTGATATTGGACGTATCTAGCTTGGCCAGCAGTCTAGGAAACACTCATATTATGCAAGACTCTTTGTAGTTGGCCCCTAATAAGTGAGGTATGATTTGGTAATTGGTATGGTAATTAACCTGGAAAACTATCCTCTTCTTTGCTTGCCAACTGGCTTTAAACACTGTGATGTTAATTGGTAAACCGATCCAGTGGAGAGAGGCTTGAAATGTTTACAGGCTGGTCTGTATTTAATTCAACTCTTTTTTCAATGAATGGCTTTTTTCTCATTAGTGGGATTTTTTGCTTGTTTGTTTGTTTTAATTTTTAGATACTGGTTTTCAGAGTTTTGGTGAAACCCAAACAACATTTTTTTTTCTTTGTGGCATATTCTTCTCTGATATGAATGTCTGGCTTCATGAATTTATGTATGTTAGACTGTAAAATATTGACATGTTTTAAGGTTGCTTCTGCTTGCCTTACATATGGTGTTTGTATATATATTCCCAAAACAAAGTGTTACTTGATAGAACTTGATCTGCATTAACTCAAAACTGTTTTGTCAATTGAGAGTAAACAGAATTATTTTATTGTGGTTAAACTTGCACTATAAATGCAGAAATATGTAGGAAATTTATAAGGGGGTGAGTGATTTACTAGTTACAGATGATAAAAACTTGTCTTGACATTATCTTCCTGCTTTATAATAGGTGATTGGAATTTTTTACCAATTTGCACTAAGGCAGTGGCCCATGCCTAATCTAAGTATACACTGTGGGATTATCTGTAATTCTCTTGAGACTGTTAACAGTTAGAACATGGAAGCTCCCCTATATATATGCATTTATATTCTGGTTTACAACAAGCTAATTCTACAACTTATTCTTCTCTACAACAAGCGTTTGTTCATTTGGGGTGTAGTGAGGTCTTCATGATGTTGTAGGTTACTCTGAAAAGCATAGATCAAACATAGAGAATTATAAGAACTGTTATTAAACCTAATTTTTGTTTTATAGGTTATTCAGCAATAGTTATGAACTCCCGTTTACGAGCCTTAGGTGGGAGGATAAATAACATACGAGCATCAGAGCTACCAAAAGAGAAAACCCGATCAGAGATAATCTGTCACGTCCACTTTTTGGATGGCTCAGTACAAAGCTTCAAAGTCAATGTAAGTTTGGAAAACTACTTTATTTTTAAATACATAGGAATTTGTTTGAAAGCTGGAGATCAAATGTGGGACCCTGAGGCTTGGTGTATCCCAAAGATGTAGAAGACGTAACTTTGCCATTACCAATTGCAGAATTACTGCTTATGTAATGGGTTTATGAAGCGCTATTTTAATTTACTTTCAAGTCAACCAACTGAAATATCATAAAATCATGGCATGCGGATTGTATCTGGCAAAAAGTCTTCTGTATGATATGGGAACCACAAAGAAAGAGATCTGGTGATCATTGTCAACTATGAATAAGTAATTAATATTTAAAAGGAACCCCCAAATTTGGATGTGCTCCTCCTTTTCTCCCATTAAAGGACTGGTAAAAAGGAGGAGGCCTTGTAAATTCCTGTAGTGATGTCAGTTACATATTTTCTGAAATGCAGAGATGATGTGAATAGTGAAGACATTGTGGCTTAGCAGGACAGTTTAGTTCAGTCTTTTGTACTTCGATATAGCCTCTTTATTTGGGTGTGGGGAGGGAAAGAGGATTAATGGAGGTTTGCACTTTGTATTATTACTGTATTTTATTCTAGCAATAGTTTGGTTTATAACTTTTAGTATTGATTAAAAATATTAGCTCATTTTTAAATGAAAACAAAGGAAATAGCTTCAGTTGTCAATCAACTTTCATTAAAATTATCTGACCCTGAAAAAAACCTGTAGATGAATTTAAATAGAGTTGTGTGTATTTGTGTATATGATACTTATTTTATCCAGTATACCCTATTTGAGAAGAAGCATTTTGCTGAGGAAGATATGTTGCTACATCTTTTAGATTACACAATGTTTTCTTACAAGAGATTCAAAACTGCACCCAAAAGTTGTATTTTCCCAAGTCTTATTACAGTTCACTTTACAGACTGATAGCTTTGTCTATTGGATATTAGTTGAAATAGGAATTATTTGATAGGTTAAATATATTATTTTCATTCTAATATATACAGAATTAGTCTTGTATTAGTATATATTTTATATGCTGTGTATGTATATACATATATGTGTGTGTCTATGAAGTAGCTAACATTGGGAGGCACAGTACAAGGTGAGTAGGTATGTAAGAGAAGGAGCAACACATTAGTACACAGTTGTTTGTCTCTAGTATGCCCTAAGAATTGCCTTGTCTGTCAGTGAGCTGGCATAATTACCATATACCACCCCCCCGCACAAGGATCTGTGAAAAATGAGGAATTCAAAATGTTTTTAAATCCATGCATAGTAGTATATTCATTCTTTGTAAACAAGTGTTTACACAGCTTTACATTTAGTGCTAGGCTGTAAGTCCAGCACTGTACAAGTGAAAATTGTTTCTCATTTCATCCTTTAAGCAGTGACCACAATATGGGAACCATTGAGAAGGAATTGGCTAGACCTTGTTAGGCCTTCCAGTACCTAAAGAAAGCTGGAGAGGGACTTTGTACAAGGACATGTAGTGATAGAACAAGAGGGAAATGGCTTTAAACTGAGGGAGGGTAGATTTAGACTAGATATTAGGAAGAAACTCTTTGCTGTGAGGGTGGTGAGACACTGGAATGGGCTGCCCAGAGTAACCGTGGGTGCTCCATCCCTGAAAGTGTTCAAGGCCAGGCTGGGTGGGGCTTTGAACAACCTGGGTTACTTGAAGGTGTCCCTGCCCACAGCAGAGGAGTTGGAATAAGGTGATCTTTAAGGTCTTTTTCAACCCAAACCATTCTAAGATTCTGATTTTTCTGAAACTGCAAACCCAGCTGACTGCTCTCCCTACCTTCAGCGTACCCCTAGGGTATCCCTGCTGGTTACCTCCTGCATCCAAGAATTAGAAGAGCCTCCTTTGCTACAGCTGTAATGCTGAACTGTGTAGGAGTGATGTAGGACTCATTACTGCTTTACTGAAAACAAGCAGGGAGCATGGCTGCCCCACTGTGTTATGGGCTAAAAAAAGGAAGTTTCACAGCAGATTTATTTCTTTGAGTACTGAGCTGTCATACTGGTACTGAGGGAGGCCGCACTTATTTGCCAGGATGGCCCTTCCTGGTTATCTAACCTTGAAGTCTGCCTAAGAATAGTTTTTGCCATGCTCTGGTAGTATCACAAGGTCCATTTCTCAAGAGGGTTTGAAGCCAGCTGCAGAAAATTCGCATCCAAGTTCTGCCTACAATAGCAGAAAAATTTGGCTTTGTGAAGTTTGTGCCTGACTGTGTGTTTATTTTAGTTGCTAAAATCGTTCAGTTTTATGTCTGTGAGCAAAGAGTGACTCTGGTCTGTGGTCAGTCTGGGAATCAGCTAGGCACATACTGAAGGAAAGTAAGTTTTGCTCTGAATAGATTTTCCCCACTAATTAAGTCTTTGTCTGTTGCTTTAGAGAAACTGTTTCTCATATCAAGAAGTTTTGCTCCACATTTAATTAATTTCTCGATGACAAGTTAGCTGATAATTCTATATTTTTAAGAAAATAAATATGCATATCACATGGCACAATTATCCAGAAGACAAACTGACAGCAATGTATTTAATGATTTAGTAGTATATTATTAAAATGAAGGTGCTTTCCAAAGTGACTATACATACATACAAGATACTTGGATAAAAAGACTTACTATGTCTTGTGAATTTTGTAAATATGCCTTCTAGTTTTTTACTTTATCAGTTTTTACCAGTATCACTGAAATCTGTTGAGTTTTTCTCTCTTGGAGCTGAACAGGGTCATCTCTTCTAAAGCATAGGGTGTAGTGTTTTCTCTTTAAAAGAATTTCAGTGTATCAGTGGAAAACTAAGGTTGGGTGGTGTGTTTGGGGTCTAGTGGTACTGAGTTCTGATCTGTGAAGGCTCAAGTTTCGATATATGTTACACTTTGAACTAGTATTAGTCTAATATTCATGTATACATAAGTATGATTTATGTTCATAGACTTTTCTATGACAAATAGTGGAAAGTGAACAGGGAAAATCAGTGTACTTGAATCTTGGTCTTTATCCATTCAATGATATAAATGGAACTGGAGACTTCTCCCTTTCTAATGACAATGTACTGAAAAATACTGAGCATTGCTTTGTCATGTAGCAGCCACCTGAACATGGAATTCTTATAAAAACAAGGTTTCTTTCCAAGTCGCAAGGAGATTATATAGGAAAACAACATCAAAGAAAAGAAACATTAAGGGTAAGAGAAACTTGAGATGAGTTTGCTTTAATTTTAAACAAATAGATATTCTTCTATGTTACCATTTCAAGTATCTTGTTGACAATGCACAGATGCTCAAGGCTACAAAATATGGACTGGATTTAAATTTAATACAAAGATGATAGATTAAATAGCCTAAATTTACAACCTGACACTGAAAACAACTTATGTATTTTGAAATTTTGAACTGGTGCTAAGAGAGATCTTTAAAATGATGGTAGAACATTCATGGTATCTTCAAATAGCGAACCTTTCAGAGAACAGGGAGAATAGAGATATACCTTTCTTTTCATTCTGTAACAACAGGGTCTTGATAGAGCCCACAAAGCTGATTTTCATCAAATTTAGTTAGCAAATTGCATGGGCTCATGGCACTTTTGTAGTTATACCTATAGGACTGCTAAATGGTATTTTGATTTTCCAGTGGTTTAATCAGTAGCAGGGTGAATGAAAATCAAATATCTTAAATCTGGACAAAGGAAGAAGGAAGGTGTATTTTGCATATGGAAATGACCAGAGGGACTTTCTATCTATTGAGAAACCTGAAGATAGCTGCATAATTTGATTCCTGAAAATTCTTATTAAGCACTTAGCCCAAAGAATAGCAGTATCCTGACCAACTGTAAATAAAGACTTAGTTGCAAGAGAAGAGTGCCAGTTTTCTCCTGGATTTTTTGCTTTGGCAGAGTAGTGAAGTGATTTGGCTTTTTTGTTCATTGTTTTTATTTAAAGGTTTTTATACTGCACTTTTGGTGAATCTGAAATTTGTATTGATGGTATTGCAAAGAGTTAATGAGTGTAACTTGCAGCATGTGCTGTTCTTAGGTCACCATTATCAGGAAAGTTCACATGGGAGTACAGACAGACACATTCCACTACATTGCTTACAGTCCAAAGAGAAATGTATGTTAACTATGCAAGGCTGAAATGGCCTTCCTTGTCTTTCCGCCATTAAGTGCTTCAGTACTTAGATGGAACATGTCCAAAGTCCAGGCAAAGAATAAAAGGTGCTTGTAAGCTAACAGTTGGAAATGTTCTTTCAAAACCCCATTTGAGACAAAGATTTGACTGCATTTAGTACTGAATGTTGCACTTGACTTTAATTTTATCCAAGTTTTCTTGATGCCTCCCAGTAAATTTGAGGTGTTTGAATTTTGTGATAAGGTTAACTCACCTCTGTCTCTGATGTTACCTCTGTCTTGTTCTAAGGCTATAATGCATAGGCTTTCCACATGGAGAAAATGCTAGTTGTCATTCTAATATATACAGAATGTGCTCACATGCCATGTTCGAGTGTGTTTAATAGGTGTATATTGAGCAATAATGCAAATTTATTTGCATTTTTTCATATAAACATGCAAGAATTTTCTGATTTTGCTCTACTTTGACTCATTTACCAGGAATGACCACTTGGGAAGCTCACCTCTCAATTTCAAGTAAACTGACTTTTGTGAAAGGATAAAATTTATAGCATCAGATGACTTCTGTATTACATTGTCTTTCTGAATTGACACTTTTAACTAAGTACCTGTGATTTTTGCTTTTAGAGTAGTTGGCTTTTAATAATAGGGTTGCCTTCTAGAAATAAGATGATGAGGCTATAATAATTCAATAAGTTGGAGGACATAGCGTTCAAATTGTAAGGAATGTTTTTCCTTCTCTGCCAACTCAGTTAAGCTCCTTCCAGGATCTGAGAAGGAACATGATTGTTAAAGTTAACACAATCAATTACTATTGGTATATTTATAATAATGAACCGAGATAATTAAAGGTTCTTTTTAATTGTGGGTCAG